CAGGGTGTGAAGACCTGTTCTTGGCCTCCACCCTCTGGATGTCAATGGGATTTTCTTCCCAGTTGTGACAACCAAAAATATCTCCAGATGTTGCCAGATGTCCCCTGGGAGGCAAAACCCTCCCCAGTTGAGAACCACTGGTTCAAATCTATGAATCTAAATTTTAGCGTTTGGTTAAAAAAATGTAGCCATTGGAATGTTGAAAAACTAAATGTCTGTAATTCAACGTAGCTCAAGCATGGAAGAAACACGGCCCCCAAATGATACTGAATTATCCATCCACACTTCTGTGTCTCTACCATGTGAGTAAGACACTGAACTATAATCGGGACAATCACACACTTGCTACACAAGCATTTCTAGACGGTAGGAAAGCTCACTGAACGAACATTTATAAAAACGCCTAGAAGGAATAAAGAATGTCTGACATCCCTGCCCCCACAAAACCATCGACATTTCCAGGGGTCTCTGATCAAAAGTAGGAAAACAAATTTCCTGCCGATTCATCAGCTGCCAAAGGCGGCATTTTTCAGTGCTCGCTAAGGGGCTTCCTAATTCTTGTAAATTCAAGGCACCGCGAACCTATCTACGGGAGATCTCAAGGTCCTCCAGTTTCGCCTACATGGTTCTACTTGTACGCAGGCCCCAGAGCTTCCTTAGCGTCACAGGAGAAGTGCCAGAGCTGGGTTTCCAGACTCCCCTTAGCTTCTAGACTCCAATTAATCTGCTCTCCTCTTTCCAGCACAAATTACTTCATGTACAATTTTTTCTTAATGTCAGTTATCTGAGCTACTCATCTAACACGGTTTATCTTCTCCAGAGTCCCAGTGAGTCTCCTGTGAAAACAGCATGAGCCTCATGTTTATTCTCCAGATGACTGTCCTGGGGAAAAGCTGACAACATCAAGTATTATTATAACCTGAAAAACAGAACTTAAGAACGAATGTCCTTTTAACAAAATGTTTTTCTTAGATCAAAATGCTCACTTTGTTCTCATTCAAATGGAACAAAATAGAGATTTACCCACTTAATGAAGTATTTTTTTATTTATCTGAGGATGTTGGATGGAGACATAAGTCCCTCTGCTGGGTCTGTGGTGGCAAAGTAGCTCTTCTCAGACAACCACCCCGGCAAGAAAAATCACAGAATTTGGGTAAATTTAACAAAAGCAAAGGAACAAACGAATACAGGATTTGAATATATCTGAGAAAACCAAAGTACACCAGGAGTCAAAACTCTGCAGAGAAGGAGGCAGAATTCTGCATCACGGAGGCAGCTGGGTGGTGTTTGCTGTCTCCCCCTCAAGGCATCTGATGACCCGTCAGCTACACAGGCAAGAGGCCAAGAAGCCAGAGAGAGAGCACAACTCCACAGGGTGAAGTCGAAGCAGAGATCTCTGCGGTCTCGAGGTGCTGGGGAAGTTAAACATTGGGATTAGGGGCTGTCAAGAAGGAAAAGCCCCCGGTGAGCATTCACATTTTCAAATGAAAACCCTAAAAAGCTACACTTCAGGAAAAAGGGTGAAAAAAACAGAAACAAAAACAGCTCATGTAACAAATACACAAGAAAAGAAACACTTGCCCCTCTGTGATTAATGACAAGGACAACGGAGGCTTCGGAGAGAAAACACGACCTGATTGTTAACCTGGCTTTATGAATTAATAATGCACTGATGGAGTCAAAACTTGAACTGATTTGAAGACATATCTTAGCGCATCTGCAAGTGACTCAAAGGGAGATGAAAAGCTACATGTTGTGATTCATTAGAATGTTCACTGAGCACACCCCGAACTATGCCTTGGTTGTGGGATATGTCGCATTTTTTCCTACAAAAGAATATTCACTGGCTACATAGAGGGTCACGATCAGAGGCATGTTACTGAAATAAAGTATGTCCTTTACAAACATAAACTATTTATTAATAACACCAAATCCATCATGTTTTATAAATCCAAATTTCAAGTGAAAGCCATTGGCCAATTTTGACTTTTAATCAGAGACAAAATATTCTCAAATGCACTGTATAGATTATCTCTTTGTTTCATTTATTTTTTAGAAGATTGAAGACTATTTCTGACTGTTAATATTATGCTGTTTCCTCCAGGGGAGCCTCGTGCCCCCACATGGACACACAGACACCGAGGTCATACGGAGGCTGGCTCTCTGTCAACTAGACTCACGGCTGCAGGTAATTATTCGTGAGTGGTGCCTTGTGTCTTCTCTAAAGTACCTACTGAGTAACTGAAAGGACTGAAAATGATGGGCATATGTTCAAATGACAAGGAATGGGGCAGAGACACAGTACATTCAGTGATGTGAAAACTGCTAAAAGAATAATAGATCTTAGAAGTTCCTGTCACCGGGAAAACAACACGCACGTTTCTCCTTTCTCTCTTGTTTTTATATGAGGTGATGGATGTCAACTGAACTAGTTGTAATCATTTCACAGTATGTGTAAGTCGGGTCATTATGCTTACACATTAAACTCACACAGTGCCATGTGTCAATATATCTTAACGAAACTGAAAGAAAATACTTCAAATAAATTTTGCCCACTAATTTCCTTTGAGACTCAACTTGAGAAAAAAGAAAATAATGCTGTTTATAATATTCACAAAAAACATATAAAAGCTAGGAAATTACCTCTGAAAAGTATAGAACCTACGTGGAACTCTAGTAAGAGTCATCGAAGAAGACTAAAATAAATACAAAATATACACCATGTTCCTGAGTGAGAAACTTACGGTTTTATAGATCTAATAAATTTCCAAAATTATAAGAAATTATCTTACCAGATATCAAAGCACATCTTAAAGCTAAAGTAATTTTTAATCCATATAAAATTGGCAGAAGACTAGACAAATTTCAACGAAAGACTAGTCTAAGTATATAATAATTATTAAATGTAATAAAATTGCATCACAAACCAATAATGATTGAAAAGGTACAAGGTTAGCCCGGCCGGGCATGGCTCAGCAGTTGAGCGTCGAGCTAGGATCCAGGCGATCAGGGTTTGATTCCCGGTCAGGGCACATGCCTGGGTTGTGGGCTTGATCAATGACTCTCTCACATTGATGTTTCTATCTCTCTCTCTCTCCCTCTCCTTTCCTCTCTCTGAAATCAATAAAGATATATTTTTTTTAAAAAAAAAAAGGTACAAGGTTAAATGATAATATGATTTAGGCAAAGAACAATATATACTTTTAAAAAGAGTCCCCTGGAGATTTTTTAGAAGTGATAAATGAAGTAACTGAGATTAAGAATCCTGAATGAGATTGACACCCAGGTAAGGTCCAGCTATAGAGAGAATTAGTGAACAGGAAAATAGGGGCAAAGAAAATACAAAAACTGATAAATTTCTATGAGAAAAAAAGATTCTAACTTGAAATGGGAACATAAAATAGTCACCCAAGACAAGAAGTCTCAGCTTTAATATTTATATCTATATTGAAATAACATAGATCTTATTATGGGCTCAATGTCCTCCCAGAATCCTTCTGTTAAAATCCTAAACCCCAATGTGATCGCATATGGAGGTGGGGCCTTTGGGAGGTGATTTGGTCATGAGGATGGAGCCCTCAGGAATGGGATTAGTGTCCTTATAGAAACCAGAGAGCTCTCACCCCTGTGGCCATGTGAGGACACAGTGAGAAGACAGCACCTATGAATCAGAAAAAGGGAATCTGCAGCCACCTGGATCTTAGATTTTCAGCCTCCAGAACTGTGACAAATAAATTTCTGTTGTTTAAGCCCTCCATCTGTGGTATTTTTTAAAACTGATTTTAGAGAAAGAGGGAGGGGGAGAGAGAAGCATTGATGTGAGAGAGAAACATCAATCAGTTGCCTCGTACTTGCCCCAACTGGGGATGGAACCTGCAACTTAGGTATATGCCCTGACCAGGGATTGAACCCTAAACCTTTCAATGTATAAGACAAAGCTCCAACCGACTGAGCCACTCGGACAGGTAGTTCCTTTCCTTATGTCATAAACAATCACTGTTTCCATCAGAAATAGAAATCACTTTTAGCATTCAAACCATTCTTAATTAACCTACATTCCCTTTTAGCTTCAAATAAAGCCTTTCTTTTCTAGGAGAAAAAGATGGCCCCTCTCATTTCAGCCCATGTTCCTCCAAAGTCTGTATTTCTAACAGAATTCAGAGCAGCACAGAGTGTTTCTGCCTCCTCTGCACAGAGCCCCGACACAGAGTTGAGACTGCAATGCCTCGTCCTGTGTTCCCTCTCACTGGGAGACAGCTCTGCAAAAAGCGGATTGCATCTGGACTCTAAACAGCCTGAATCTCAACAGCCAAACGCCCCATGTCCTCCCAGGGGACAGTTCCCGAGCCACTGCTGAGCCGTGGCTTTGCCTCACTGCTCCTCTGCAACATAATGATCTTCAGACGCCCCGTTCCCTCCGAGGAAACATCTTTAATTGGAGAAAGTAGGAGAAAAAACAATTGGGCCAAGTTTCCTCAGAGGATCTTATACAGCTTTTCACAGCTCATTTATAAGTTTATCTCTTCTCCTACCCTTTCCACAACCCCCACAAATACACAGGCATGTCACTTTTTTGCAGAAATTAGTCATTTATAAAGAAACCAATTATTTTTACCCAAGCAACCCATAATCGCATTTTAAAAGCCAGTGGCAATGCAATCAAATGCAAACCTGGGAGAGGGTAGGATGACTGGCCCAGTGTTCTCGTTAGTGGTCAAGTTGAGCAAAGACTCTTGACATTTCCAGGACTGTCCATTGAAACCTACTTATGTCTTTAAAAAAGAAAGAAAAGTCCAGTCAGTGTGGAGAGTCAACTGCGGGCGCCAGGAGGTCACCACGGGTTGGATTCCCAGCAGGGCACATGACCAGGCTGCAGGCCCGATCCCCAGACGGGGGTGCGCAGGAGGCAGCCGATCCATGTTCCGCTCTCACACTGATGTTTCTCTCTCTGTCCCTGTCTCTCTAAAAATCAATTTTTAAAAATCTTTAAAAATACGTACAGTTTCTTTAGAATAGCCAGGAATTCTTCTAATTTCTCTTCGAACTTTCTGGGTCCATATGAACGGCCACCGCGCGCCTGTTTCACGTAGATGGCTACGTTGTGCGCCTTGTCAGGCTGCTGGGACCGGCTTTCTTCTGCGGCCTCCAAGGGTTTTCTGGACAAGGAAACGCAGGGTTTAGCTTCTGCGCCCTGCACACAAATCACTGGCATGAACTTCTGCATCACTGTCAAGAGCAGAAATGCACTTTTCTGAGATAATTCGGCACTCTAATAATATAGTGCTTCCCCATGCCTTAATTTTTTTAGTTTTTTAGTTTTTTAAATCCTCACGCCAGGGTGTTTTTATTGATTTTAGAGAGAGGGGAAGGCAGAGAGAGACGCATCGGTCGCCGCCCCCCGCACACCCGCCGGGGATCGAACCTGCAACCTGGTACGTGCCCCGACGGGAATCGCCCCGCGGCCCGCTGGTGTGCCCACGGCCGCCGCGAACGTCGTGAGGCTGTGACCAGGCCTCTAAGCGCCGGGGCCCGACCCGCCCGACC